ATCCTCTCGTCTTACATAATAATAGTTTAGTGAAGAAAAAACACCGAATGTTTTTTGCGGAGGTATAATGAAATGGTTATGGATGGTATTATTGTGAGAGGTATAATAGAAGACGCTATTCTTTACGTACATAGCATACTTTAACCGATTTAAAAGAAAGGAGGATATAATTTAAAGTGCATAATCTTAGTTACATATGCCCTAGAATCTAGGAAGGAATAGGTATAGGGAGATTATACAGTAGAGACTATAAAATTATACTCTAGGACAGTGATGGGAAAAGTACGGCCCGTGGGGGGGGGGAAGGGATTGTTAGTAATGGAGACTAAAAATCCCATTGCTAGCAATATACCCAGCCAGGTCGACCTCCTCGCGGTTCTCCCTGGAAACTATCATGGTTAATTCCTTGTGAATTTGTCATGATCGGCTAACGGGCCTGTTTTCATTCTCATCTATCACCCTTCACTGGTGCTCCGCCAGCGTATCTTGTTAGCGCAGGCGGGGTTAGCATTCCATTTTCACCCATCCAAAAAAATAGTACGGCCCACGGGCCAACTCCGGCCCGCGAGTATCTAATCCGGTCCGCCGAAGGTGCATCGACATGAATAGTATATGGCCCGCTATAATTACGTTTTGACGGACGAAGAAGTATAAAGTAGAATCTACTTAGTAGAATAATAGATGCATAACCTATAGGTGAAGCTAAACTAGCCGCGTAGTTGGAAAATATAATATTATGGAAAAACAGTTCCATATGTCTCATACGCCGACTATGGCAGAACCTACGAATAAAAGTTAAATTCATTATTATTTAAGGTAAAAGATAATTTGTAACATTAGTGTGTAATGTTTTTATAATATTATGATTAAAAGTTTTAACACAATATGCATTTTTTTTTATAATTCTGGTCCTTCTCTAGAATTTCTTAAACTTTATGGTCCCCCATTAAAAAAGTTTGTCTACCACTGCTCTAGGGCCTAGACCACTTCATTGGTGATAGAAAGCATTTTCAGTAATGACAATTAGTGGCCCCATAATTATCAATATTAACTGTGTCAGGTTGGTCTCCACGATTCTCCCTGGAAACAATCCAAGTTATTTCTGGTTGAATTTTTCGCGATGGGCTAACAGACCTGCTTACATCCTCACCAAATCATCTCTCACTGGTAGGTACCCTGACTTCATATACCAAAAGCATAGACAGGGTCACCATTCCATTTTTATTCCGTTAAAACTCTTGATGGATTTTAAGAAATAGGGTGTCGTTAGATTCGTATTATAGGAGTGCTATAAGCTATCTAACGACACTATAAAATATAGAGGTCGTAAACTGACGAAAATAAATTGAACAATTGGATTTTGTTGTAACTTTGTTAAGTCCATCAACATCATTTTACCCGTTAACTGTTCATATCGAATAGCACCAAAATATTAATAACTTTTACTTAATATATTTAAAACGTTACCAAAGCCTAACAGCGAATGCCAGGTGAGAAAGGGACTGTTAGTGATGGAGACTAAGAATCCCATTGTTATATTAAGCAATATACCCAGCCAAGTCGACCTCGTCGTGGTTCTCCTTGGAAACTATCATAGTCTTCCTTATGAATTCGTCATGATGGGCTAACTGGCCTGTTTTCATTCTCATCGGTCACCCCTCACTGGTGCTCTGCCAATGTATCTCGTTAGCGCAGGCGGGGTTATCATTCCATTTTCACCCATAAAAAAAAAACAGCGGATGCCAAGCCGCCTACCAAGCGTAGTAAAACCGCCCAAGGGAGAAGTCTGTTCAGCAGTGGAGAGTTTACGGCTGATATGATAATGATAACTACTTCATATGTATATTTGTATCTTTATTTATTTCAATATACGTTTTTACCATACAGTCTAGTTTAGCAAGGATTTTCAGCGGAGAAGAACTGACAAGAAACTCGAATGTACATGTTTATTTTATATGTTTCTTTTGAAATAAATCTATACCAATATTATAAGAAGGAAGATTTGTTTGTTTGTTTTTTTGTAATGGGTAAACTCAAAAACTTCATGTAATAATTTATGTTATATTACTTCTACATATATTTATCTTTTAATGAGTAACATAGACTTAAGAAAAGTTAGGGATTTCTTCGAAAATTACGCAAACTAAAATATCAAAAATTTGTCTATTAAAGAGAATATAAAATACAAATTTATTTATTTATTGATCAGTCTCTCAGTAAATCATAGGAAGTAGGGGCAAATCGCTAGTACCTAATAAATTTTAATATATAAAAATCCCATGTTACGCTAATCTTCAAAACCTGGGTAAGAAGGGATTGTGAGTAATGCGAAGCACCAGTCACGTTACTAGCGATTTGGCCTATAAGGTCGACTTCCACGTGTCGCCCTGAAAAACATCGTGCTGAATTCCAAGTGTATTCATTACGAGGGGCTAACTGACCTGCCTTTTCAATCCCACCTATTACCCCTCACTAGTGCCTTGCCAGCATATAATGATAGCGCAAGTGGAGTTACCATTTCATTATCATCGATTAAATAAAACCTTCCAAACCACTTTCTAATGAAATTTTGAAAATGTGTACCGTTTACTCTTATTTTACAAAACGGATTCTTCTTATTTTTTTTCTAAATTGCGAATCAAAGTTATTTAATTATAGATATTATATTTAATATAATGGATCAAGTACTTAAATCCACGAACCATTTTGTGATAAATAAACAAAGTTAATTTTAAATGTGCTTAGTTTATTTGAACCATGGTTAAAGTTTTAATCCTTTAAGACTAAGACGAGTGTTATATAAATGAGAAACGGTAAACATAATTAGTGCCAATCAAGTTACTTTGAAGTTTTCGAATTAAGTTCAAACGACTTGGGAACTATTCGTTTATTACAACAGTTGCTGACTGCGACTTATTTGTAACATTACCACTGGGTATCTTTAAAATAATAGAATTTGCAATTTTGAATAAATTCTATCAAAGCATTATTCCGATGTAGGCAAATAGCTTCCGATTTATCCTGTTAGAAATTGAATTCTGAATATAGCTGAATATTATTTGTGTATAAATTTCCCGATGTTACGTTCAAGATTGCCCCTTGAAGCATTTTAAACATTCTTCAAAAATGTCTAGCAGGGTTCCATCGCAAATTGCAATATGGAATTACAAACTGTTACTATAAGGGTAGACGACGTTTACCTTAAGCTTTATGAGATTATAAAAAGTAATTGAAAAATTTCCGTTTCTTCCGTGGTGTAATTGGAAACGGGCGCGATACCTCCGTACTAATAGTTAAATTAATTATCAAAGACGGACAGACAGATAGAAAACATTATTTTCTTTAGCTTCTGTGATAATGATAAATGATAGTTCTTTTCTCTCTCTATATTACTTATCGCTATAATATTCTTATATTCTTTTATTATTTATTTTATTCTTATATTATTATATTAGTAAGGATTGTACAAAATTATAGGGTAATATCATTGTAAAAATCATTTATCAGACTATGTTACAATATTTGTACGCCCTATGATGGTAAAACATAACTTTACTAAATTAATAATATTACCTATTATTTATGAAAATGCATTATTGATTTTTTGATGGTACACAAAATAATAAGTTCATATTAATAATTTTAGTGTCTTCCTTCAACTTTTAATAGAAATTATCAATTCGAAATAACAATACACAGAGAAACATGTCTCGAAAGAAAGGGTCCAAAGCGAGCATTGTATTGACGTATTTCGCTTGGAATTTCTTCAATCTTAATAAGAAGTATTTGGTCAAATAACATTAAGCATTGCAAATACTCATTCATTGACAACAAGCGCTAAATTGCCAGCACAGCGGGAGACAGCTACGTGAGACCCATTTGTAATAGAACGTTCCGCTAACAATAGGGTTACCTACCATTCATGCTTTAATTGCTATTTCTGAGGGATTAATTATACGAAATATTGCACATCATTGTCGAACATTACAATGATTACAGCAATAATTATGCTCAAATTTGATATTATTCACTTTGGTAATAAGATACGCGAATTAATCGCGAAACATAGAATGCTTAATTAAATTTACATAGTAATTAGCTTTTGCCCATGACTTCGTTTGCGTACTCGAGATACATTTAGAGTAGATTTACTGTGAACTTGTGACAAAATCTTTACAAATTTTTGTATTTATAATATTAATAGGATATTTAAAATATAAAAATGAAAAAAAAAAAAAAACAAATAATGGTAGCCAAGAATGGAAGACATATATTTAACGTTTTTTTTTTTATTCTTGTTGTAAAGTATATATGTATCTGATATTATTATATTTTCTATCTTGCCATGAAATCACTTACATGTTAGACGAAAAAAATACATACATACATACATATCTGTCACGCCTGTCTCCCATTAGGGTAGGCAGAAACAATGGAACGCCAAATGCTTCGATTCAAACAAACCTCTTTCGCTTCTTCCACATTCATCAGTCTTGTCATACACGCTCGCCGGTTACGGGTACTTTTAATTTGGCCCTTCTTCAGCACGTCGCCTATTTGGTCGACATACGTCCGTCTAGGGCGGCCCCTACCGACATCTCCATTCATTCTTGCTCGACAAATCTCTTTCGTAATTCTTTTTTCATCCATCCTCTCCAAATGACCTTCGAAATAGGTTGTTGATTGGCATGTTCTTATTAACTAACATATTTTAAGTATCTATGTAAATTCTTCATTAATAAAGTCAACTAGAACAGTTAATTTTATAAAATAATTTTTCTTAAGTTTACTTTTTTTTAAATAATCTTAGTAATAAAAAGTAGAATCCTTACTAATTTCTAAAAGTGTGTTTGGTGGTTACCTTCTGATAAAGTGCTGGTCATGAAATTTAGTATACATGTAACTAGCCCATTTATTTATAGGCATGGGACAGTTTTAATCCAGTAACGCAGATGAAGTCGCGGATAAAAGTTAGTGTGAAATGTATGAAAAACACTTACCGGTACAGCTTTATTCTTGTCGTCAACCAGCGTGTCGGTGATGCAGAGCTGACCGTCGTTCACGACGATCTGGAGGCCAAGTCGGTACACTCCCAGTACACGATGGTTGCCCCATCGTCCACGTGAAATCAGCTGAAGAGTTAGAACTTCTCCGGCGGTCACTGCACGCGACACCGGCCACTCGAAGCGCTGTTAAAGGAATGATCCTTACTATTGTTGTATATTGACGATCTAGATAGGTATCTAGATAGGCAAATTTCTAGTTTGTTTTCTTGTTTTTTAAAAGAGCCTATGTTATTCGCTAATAACTTTCTGTGAGTGAAAGAATTATGAAAATCGGTTAACAATTTTTGTGTCTGTCCTTTGTAAAGAAAAAAAAGCATTTTTTTTTCTCTCTTTATAATATTGATTTCAATATGAAAGTGTTTTTGTTTATTATTTATCAGATGACATTATTAATTTAATAATTAAATAAATTACTATAAAATTTAGTATGTAGATATTATTGCGGTTGGTGAAGGACTTAGGTGACTCTATATCCCGATCAATCGAAATACCCTGTTCACGCGGTCAAAGTCACGGGTGAAAACTAGTAAGTTATTTTTATTTATATTACTCTTGGCACTTTCACTGATTGACCGATTGTAATAAAGTTTTGGCGTAAAAAAAGGGCGTAGCCTACTTTGGTACTGATCAATCAATGTTCCCGTGGGACTACAATGCATCAATACAATAAGTGTACTTGTTCTTCCAATTGTTTGAAAATGTCAACGTACGAAATTTCTTTGTTCGTGACAGTCTGTTTCCGTAGTATAATTGGAAAGATACTTAACAAAGACAATAGAAGGAGATTTTGTACAAAAGTCGTCTGTTTGGATGCCTCTCCCATTCGTGTTTTTTCCGTGAAGCAGTTGTGTATACATGACTGTGTTTCGGTTCGAAAGGTGCAATATGGTAATGAAATTATAGGATACAAAGGCATAACACCATAGTCCTTAGGAATGGTAAAAGATGTATTTGGCGACAAAGTCACAAAGTATACTTTTTTATGTCCATGGTACTATTCATGTCTATAGGCGACCGTTACCACTTTTAAACAGACGGGCCGTCACCTTGTTTTTGGCATTCTATGCATAAAAAAATGATACAAGTACGAATATTGTCTGATCAAATTTCGTTGAACGGTTTAAATTGATATAATAAAAAATGAGAACAAGTAGTCAAACTAAAATCTAGTAGGCGCTAGTAAAACTCGCGTTCCAATTTACAATAAGCGTCACTTTTATTTATTTTTCTTATAAACTTTTATATAAAGTTAGAAATTTATTTCATTCGTATCGTAAGTAAAAACTGTATTTATTCTAAAGTCCTATTTCAATTTAATATAAATACAACTTAATAGGTATTTCTTTTAAAGGAGCGTATTTTTTATGAAATAGTATTATTTTATATGTTTTACTTGTAACTTTGTCCAAGTCGCTGTCATATTATATTAAATTGGCCGAGATAAAAATAGTCTATGTTCTTCTCCATTCTAGATTTCATAACAATTAGTTGATTAATTAAAATAGCTAGATTAAAAAAAAAACACTTCTATATTTATAATATTAATATTTACTATTATTGTTATATGATATTGAAAGATTTATTATACACAAGGATTATCAAAACACAACACAAATTCAGTAGTGTTTCATTTCCAACACTCGCAGTATATTCGATATTACGTGGTGAGTTGAATCATTACCTACAGTTAATAAGATAATTTTTATGTACATGTTTATTCAACAAGTTGCGGTCATAAAGTGGACGTTACTAATTTAACCTTGAGTTTACTTTCATGAACACACAGGTTAAATTAAGCCAGCCTAGAAATGGTTTGGATGGCATTTGCATTTTTAATAAGTTTCAGAAATTTGCTTGGAATATTTTTAAGAAACACTAACTAATAATTTGAAAGGCGGTACCGTGTACATTTAGAATTGGTGAGATTTTATCAAACAACATTCACGTGGAGTATTTAAGTATAATTTTTATATTTAAACTAGCTTTTTGGCCGCTACTTTATAAGCGTAGGTTTCAGAAGTATAAAAACTAATAAAATAAATCACTTCTCATTCTCAGAATTACAACCGTGAACCGTATCTAATAGACAGATAAAATAAAAATATATTGTTTTGGCATCTAATTAAGATCTCTCCTATATACAAACATCGTCTCCGTACCTTTTACATCTTATTCATAAAAATCTTATTGTAAGTTTAAAGAGCTCTTTAGCTAAAACGTCAAACAACGCTATTGAACGTTCATAATAGAGCGTTAATCATAATCACTCAATAAGTCCTCAATAACTAAAAGTAGGTTTATTGGAAGATTTACGTCATTATTTTGCACAAATGTTGAATTTACTGTATACTGTAGACAAAATATACCACTCATATTATTATTTTTTGTAACAACAATTAGATAAATATAATACTTGCTCTTTTAATTGAAAAACAAATAGATAGATAGATAGATAGATAGATAATTTTATTTGCTTTACTTACAGCACACAAATTACAACATACATACACAAAAAAAAAACCAGATGCAACTTTCGTTTGTGAGTACATAAATATATACTAACATCAAACGAATATATATAACAACATTAATGGGCCAATGTTCATACCAGAATTAGCCAAATACAGTGTTGATTGAACACGTCTTTATCATCTTTTCTTCTAATCTATCTTATCATAATTTAATAGTGTAATTCTTCATGATTAATCGCAGATTTTCAATTAATTCATATTTTAAATCATAAAATATTGAAAATCTGCATTTGTATACGTAAAGTAATATATAATTTTAATGTAATGCTAATAATTTTTAGGATAATATGCTCTTATTGTAAGTATTAGTCCATTATAAGTTTAAGGACCGATATTTAACGTTCTCGTCTTACTATAGTGCGTTTATGAATAACACTTTTTGCTATTAGAGGTTTATGATAGGTTTGTAGATCATTTATATCTACTATTGAACAGCTTTAACAGAGTGCATTTATGAATACAGATTTTTATAATTAGGTTATTTTCTAGTTGTTTACAGATTTATAAAGGGTTGATAAATTTATGAATAATACAGTTATATTACTAGAAAAAATTGACAATTTTTGCACGAATAATTTGCTTTTACCATACAAATAATTTTTTATCTCAATCCACCTTTTATGTATTATCAAAACAGAAGCTTGTCTCTTTTCTTTAAATTCTATACCCAAATTAAATCAAATTGGTTTATTGGTTTAGTGTCAAAATTTACTAAACCGAGTGGCCTATATGTTGAACTGGATACTAAGTTATTCCTGCAGCAAGTTTCATTAAATTGCGGTCAGTAGTTCTTACATGATATGTGTATAAACCCAGTTCTGTTTTACATTATATATATATATATATATATATATATATATATATATATATATATATATATATATATATATATATATATATATATATATATATATATATACACTATGTTATGTATATGCTAAGTATACACTATAGACAGATCTATGCAATAGATCTACATAAAATCCTACAATACTAACATTTTCCCAATATTGTTATTTTTATATTGATATTTGTATTATTATTGTTATAAAAACAAAATTGACATCTTTCCTCTTAAGCAGATGGCAAACTGACCCTTGGGAGAAGCACAGTCGGCCGGGGTTCAAGGCCTTCGGGAAAGAAATTGGTGTACTATGCGGCCAGTATTTAAGAGTACTTATTATTGTTATTTGGTGTTTGTTGCACAATAAAACTTTAATAAAATTAATTTATTTTCATTTGATCTAATATTAATTATTTTATACACTTGACATGAAATTACGAGTAACATTAAACTTAATTTGTATTTTCTGAATGGACAATTTTATTGTTACTTGTTATTTAATTTTTTTACTTCCATGACTAGTTTTAATTTTACAAATTTATATTATTAATATACCTAATTTTAACAATTAATAAATACATTTATTAAAATTGTGTTAAAGTAACAGTATGACGGGAGACTTTGTACAAAAGTCGATTGCTTGGGTACCTCTGTCCCATTCGTGTTTAAACCGTGAAGCAGCTGTGTTTGCATGGCTGTGTTTCAGTTTGAAGGGTGGGATATGGCGTGAATTTACTGGGTACAGAGGAATAACACCTGAGTCCTCAGGAATGGCAACGCATGGGGGGTATCATGGGCGAAACAGTATACGCTGTTATGTCCATGGTACTGCTCATGTCTATAGGTGACGGTTACCACTTTCCATCAGGTGGACCGTCAGCTTGTTTGCCATTCTAAGTTGTATAAAAAAAAAAAAGTATTGTAATAATGAATTCTTGGTGAAAGGTATTATAAAATTAGGATGTTGTTGTAACATTTAGTGATTCAAACTAAATATTTGTGTAATATCATATAACCAAATATATGATATTTTATATCTATGTTATATACTATATCTATATATTTATGCAAATACATGCTCGAATGATAGTTTGATACACACCTGATTAACATAGATGATATCTTCATTGTCCAATATTACGCATGAGTACTTGACTGCACCTGCAATTAAAGTACTTTGTTATTGATCGACATCAGTGAGGAAGAGAAAATAAGGATTGACCTTTTTCAATGGGTGAAAATTATAGTTAAAACGCTCAGGTTATGGAATAAACCCCCTGTTGAGGATTTTTCAAGAGATTACAGCATGAGGTTCTTCAAAAAAGGGGTATTGCAGGCATTCATAGGCTACAGTAATCGCTTATTATTAGGTGGGTTATATGCTTGTTTGCCACTTCAATGGTATAAAAAAAAATGGTAAATTCGCCTACGCTATCGGTATACGCTAGCGGGACCATAGTGACAAATGATAGGTGAGGATGAAAGGATGGTTTCTAAAGGGAACTAAGAGTATGTAGAGGTAGACTTGACAAGGTATGTTGTTAATTTCCATTACTAATAATCCATTTCCATTTTTAATTGTTTTGCATTACTTTTTTAGTAAAGTGACTCCTGTGGCTTAGAACTGTTCCTTATGGCAGTCTATGGGAAAGGCCTATGTCCAGCAGTGGACGGATAATGGCTGAAATGATGATGACGACTTTGTTAATAAAAACTAGTATCTAAAATAAAAAAAAGCAGAAATCGGTGTTAAACTATTTTATTACAAATTTTATCCGTAAATTCACCCGCGCTACCGGGATATGTTTTTTGACCGGGATAAAAAATTTTAATTCCTTTTTCATCCTGTATAGTAAGTACGTGTATATCAAATATCATAGTAATTAGTTAAGCTTTAGAACGCTAAGAGCTAACAAACAAATAAAAAAGCTCTCGTTTTCATATTTATAATATAAGTAGGGATAACCATGCATGTAAAATATATAAATATAATATGTATACACCTGTTTAATTCTCTGTTGATTAAATTGACCTTTAAACGCCAATTGTGTGACGAGTTCTTAATACTTTTTCCAATATTATATTCAAGTAAGTACGTCATTAACTCTCTGAAGCATTCTTTCGATATCTACATATATGTTTTGCCTCAAGGCTCGTTGTAATCTCCGTGAAAGTACTTCAACTTTGTAAAATTCTGTTCTTATATATTATGTGATATTTATTAAGAAAAATCTTTCTTCTTAGTGAAACATTTTCTTGTTTTAGCGTCATGACAGTTCAAAAGATGCGATAGATAGATTTTTGATTCCATTATACACACACATGCATGTATATGAAGTATTTCCGAGGCAAAGTAAATATGTAACTCGTATCACGATGTTATATCATGCCAATATCTAAATCGCTCAACCGATGTTAATGACATTTTATGTTTTTTTTTATAGCACTGAGATACCAAACTAGCATACGACCCACCAATACCACCATTACCAAATCCACGCTAGCAATACCAGGGACATTAGAAGGACACCTCTTTATCCCATTTCTTGAAGAATCTGTTTTAGTCTCTTGGAAAAACTTCGACAGGAAGCTCATTCCAAGACTTGAGATTTCGTGGGAGTAAACATCTCTAAACCACGCTGTACGCGACCATCCTGGCTCTAAGGTATGGGAGTGAACTTCCTGCCTATGACGAGCTGTACGATGGTAGAAAATAGCTGTCGGCAATATACTGAACATGTGTAATTTTTGCTGTAACTTGAGATCATATTTGTGACTTGAAAACTGTATCTAATTTGGTGCAGAAGTTTTTGCGTGATGTGCAAATAAATATGCATATGGACAAAAATTCTAAAAAATGTTTTGGCTCCTGTTGCTCTTTTTAATTTCTGTTTTTAAATATTTCTCACCAGTTTTACCGGCGACTTCTTTCGTGTGACCGGTTTTTTATAAATCTGTATAGATGTACTATATCAAATGTACTGTCATATAATGTATGTATACCAAATTTCATATTGATTGGTTATGCTATTAAAGCGCTGTAAGGTAACAAACAAACAAACTCACTTTCACACTTATAATATTATTATGGTTTACTTACAACATAATTAATTAAAGTGACATTTATCTATGAAGAAAATTGTGTCTATTTAGTTCCCTGTTAAATTACCTTCAGTATAGTGAGTTAAAAGTAGATAGTAGAAGCATCATGTAGATGCTTTTATTACATATTTATTACAAGAGCACGTACCTAATTCTGCAGTTAGTTTATTATGAATAGAGCTATTTCTGTTTCTACTTTGCGTTAGGGGTCAAAGTAAAACAAATATTCATATGAAATTTTTACTGAGCAATTTCCAAGGGTCCACTGGAGAGAGACCAATCATTATTCTTCTTACGCAGAAATTGAACTGAATTGAAGTTATGAAATTGTTCTTTTAGTCCAAGTACGAGTTGTATTCTTAGAATTAGAGTTACGTGGTGCGAGCTATTGTTTTGCCTTTTGTTTTTTTTTTCTTTTAAACAATTACTTGTTTTCCGCAACTTCGGCCGCGAGTTTTGCATCGAATTTACATTCTCATTAAAATTTCGGGAGATCGCTTCGAGTTATCACGGATATAGTGGATGTTCATTATTTAATTATGGATACAAACATCCATGTGGAACAAACATATTGATGTTTATTACTTAATCATGTGTAAACGTCTAAACGGAACTGAATAAAATTTGGGGCACGGGTAGGGTGTGTTGTAACTTAATAGATAGGCTACATTATGTACCTATTAAATCATACGAACAAAGCCGTGGGAAACATTCTGTTTATAATATTAGAAAGAATCAGATATTAAGACAATATTAATTAGACGTTTTAAGAAGTAGATTGAATAATAAAAAATATTTTGGTATATTCACTTTTGCAGAAATCTTTTTAAAATTTATTTTTATTTATTTATTTTTTCTTTATTGACCTTAATATAAAAAGTGTCTGGTACAAAAGGCGGACTTAATACCATATAGCGTTCTCTCCCAGTCAATCTTTAGCAAAAGTTCTCCTCGAAAGTAAAAGGATATATCCTTTTACTCGCATATCACGCAAATGCTACATATATATATATATATATATATATATATATATATATATATATATATATATATATATATATATATATATATATATATATATATATATATAAAATGGAAAAGGCTCTCATTTTCAGCTATACATACGTCATTTCACATACATAATCGTAGAATTAAGTACTAATAGTAAACACACGCTAGAGTCTACTACATAATAATGGTATCTAGTGGGTGTTTGTCAACCGAATTTAGCAATAAGGAAATTCTGAATTCGGTTGTATTTTTTATGTTTGTTAACTCATAATTTTTATATAAAGGAAAATACTAACAGACTAATCCAATAGAAATTCCATTAAAATCAATCCAGTAGTTTAGTTTTTAAAACAAAATAACTGGTTTTACCAAAATTTAAATTTAACACAATCTTAAAATTATTTCATGACATTTGTTTGGAATGTGTAGTCTAACTTTAGGTGTATCGTTACATCATACGTATTTCATGAAAAACAAGTTGGTTAATTTCTAGTGAATGGTAGTGGATTTTGTTCCATATACAAAAAAAAAAAGAATAAGTTCAACCGATTTTGATTTAAAAACTATACTATTGAAGCGATTTTGATGATATTTTTATGAAATGAAATGAGTTTATTTCGAAGACTTAGTATAACGTAGGTACTACGTGTTTATTTGCATTAAATAGTTAAAATTATTAACAAAGGCCACGTAATATTAAGTTTGGCACTTGTTTAATTGCCTTAAGTGATTTGGGCATTCAAATATTTATATTTTATAAAAATAATCTACAGGACCAATCTGAAAGTAAATCCTTTCAGATAAAACAAGATTTATAGAATCGGTTTATAAATGACAGAATTTTAAGGTAATAACATAAAATAGTACATTCGAATTGGGAATCGCTTCCTTTTTTGTGATCGTAGGAATTCCAAGAAATCCTTACTAAGTAGACCCATATCAAAAGAGAGACAAATTAAATCTAAATAAAGTTTCTAAACACAGCGTTGTAGGGGAAAGGGATTATCAATAATGAAGCCTAACATCCCCATTGTTAACTATATAGTACTATATACCCTATACCACGCGGCTCTCCCTGGAAACTATCATGGTCAATTCTTGTCGAATTCTTCACGATGCGCCAATTGACCTGCTTTCATCCCCACCTATCATCCCTCACTGATATACCGACAGCGCAGGTGTATTCCATATTCATCCATTTAAAAAAAAAAAAAACTAATGCGTTGTAGGCAAATACTCGTAGATTGACTAAAATAGCACAGTTAATACAATAATGTTAAAGGTAATTTATTTCTCAGACGACAAAACACAAATAGCTAATAAGTCAGTGATTCTGTCAGTCAAAGCAAGTGAAGTTTTAGAAACTTGGAATATTTAAGACCTGAATCCAAGAATTCTAAACAATAGGTTGAAATCTTTGCCTTCTGAAAGCTCTATTCGACGAGATTCTAACCGTCACATGTCCTTGCTATTCAGTCCGTTAGAAGATAATATCACCTATTTATTATCTGTATTGAACTTGTTTATACTATCTGTCCCGCAAATAGAATAAAATAAAAAAGTAAGTGGCGCACACACCGCGGGGCACCGTGTTGTTCACGTAATGACTGTTTTTTCAACTCGTAATGCTTGGAATTCTTTTTTCACTCGTCATCGATTTTAATGCCATTTTCTAAATGGGTATTTTTTGCTGAAACTTCAAATAAATGTCTAACAAATAACATACTTTTAATGCAGATTGAGATGCTAATACTAAAAGTTATATCTTGCAGAATAGTATAACTATAGACGTTTATGAAAACAATATGAGTTAGTTTCTTATATATATTCATAGTATTTGTTATTATATTACTAATTATTCTTTAAATAAATATAAGTATGTAGAAATCGCCTAAATAATTAGGCAAACATTATTTATTGTTAAATAAAAAAAAATATATATATATATATATATATATATATATATATATATATATATATATATATATATATATATGTATGTATGTATATGTGTGTATGCGTGTGCATGCGTGTGTGCGTGCGTGCGT